ACACAGAGATAATGGAATTACAATTGTAAATAGAAACAAATACATACAAAAGATCAAAAACTGAAAAAAAAAAAGGATATATACATAGGAGAATAGAGCAGGCAGCCAGCCCTGGAGCAGACTTGCCACATCCCCATAACATCAAACTGTAGGGAGGAACCTGTGAACCTGAGAAGTTTGGCCCTAGTGTTCTGTTGAATTCTGAGGCACTTCTCTCAATTTTAACCCTTTTTTGAGGTCTATGCAGGAGTCAGCACTCAGAAAGAACACGATAAGAATCTGTGAGCAATTTATCAGTTCCTTGGGCAGTGCTGCGTCCCACAGCTGTTGTGCTCCAACAGCCAGATGCAACCTCAGCACGGGTGTGATCCTTCCTTGGCTTCAGCAGCTTGTGCTGACAGGTTTTCCTGTGTGCAGGGCTCTCCTCACTTTATTCTGCTCTCTCCTCCTTGCAGGATGGCTCGCTCTCTCTATGAGTGGCTGTGGCACCATGAGTTCTGGCTGCCCCCAGGAATCACCTGGGAGGACATGCAAGAATCTGAAGACATTCATTACCCTCAGCCTCGTGAAGTCCTGCTCAGTATCCCTTTTGCTTTAATCTTGGTATGCATTCGGTATGCCTTTGAAAGGTAAGTTATCTGATACTGTTTGGGGGTTCTTAGGTACGATGGGAGCAGTTTGGGTCCAAAAGCTGGCTTTATTGTCTGTGCCAATGCATGATTGAAGAGGTCCACACAGACTCTATGTTACAAATCTGATGAGATAGATGCATTTTTCAGCTCCTTCTTTTCATCCCTGTGTACTGGCTAAAGGAGTGTGTCGAATTTAGAGCACAAACCTTACCCTTAAGGTCTAATTGCAAGCATTGTGACTTCCTGCATGCAAAACAGGTCATTCTAGGCRAGGTTTATGTATGTGTCTTTGAAGGCAGACCTGCTGGTTTGTATATGTTGCACATTATTTGCTGTTACAGGGTTGAGAGTGGCAGAAATCATGTTTAGACTCCATCACTCAGTTAAGTCTCTGTGGTGGTTTAGACTGTGCTGAAARTTAAAAAACACTGCACCCACGATGGTCCCTCCCTGCCCCTCACCGGAGAGGCAGAAGGGAGAGCAAAGCCCAATTAACATGAAAATTTATGGCTTTCAGATACCATAACGTAATTGAGAGAAAGACATGTATGTGCTCCAAAGAAATAGTCAGACAGGCTGAATAACTTAAGTTGCAAAATAGATTTATTACTACAAACTACTAAGAATACTACGGCACTGGGGAGAAGAAAAAAAAAAACAGAGATGGGGAAAAAAATTTACAAGGAGAAAAAAAGATTAAAAAAAACGGACATTTTAAGACACCTGTTACCCTTTCTGGGGATCCATCTCTTCCCAGGTCCCATTCCTCTCCACCCATCTTTGTGGTTTCTTGATCCCATCCCCCCACCACCAAAAAATCGGACCAAGTAAAACCATGACAGTCTCCTTTGTCCAGGGTGAAGGGGATGTGGAGTATCACACCTGACAGACAGACGTGGGTAAGATTCATCAGAGTGGGCTGAGCTGTGWGCTCTCATCTCAGCCCTGCCCAGCACAGGGGTGGCGTTGCACTGACCACCTCTCAGGCTGGCGGTGCCACTGCCCTCCCCTGCCATGGACAGATGTTTTTAGCTGCTTCCTCTGGCTTCAGGCTGCTCCAGACCCTTCAGTGCTGGGCTGCCAGGATTTCTGCTCCTCTCCTTCTGCTGCCATTCCTGCTTTTGGGGCTGCATTTTGCAAACTCTGTGATATCGTCTTCCAGGGCTGGCACAAGAAGTTACTCTGACTCGAGGATCTTTCTGGCTAGAACCATTTGAGTGTTTTACACATTACACTTCAGGACAGAAAATCTGGGGATTATGACAAAGGTAGAGCAAGAAATGACAAAGGTAAAGCAAGAAATCCTGCAGGGATCACTGACTTGGAGTTTCATTAAAGCTTTATGCAGTTTGGTCAGTAGTTAGCGTGGTTTGTGACACAACATGATTTCCTGGTGGCAAACTGAGATTTACTGCAGCATTAACCATTGTCAGGACTGCAGAGCAAGTTCCCTTTCATGATTTTGAATACATATTGAAGTGGTTTTCAACGTATTCAAAACCCAGTGTTCTTAKCAGCTCTCTGGAGAGGTAATCTTTGAAATCCACAATGGTTTTAAGTTTAGAAAGAGAAGAAAAATGACAATTTAAAAAATGTTTTATCATTCTCTTTTGAAAAATGGCTGCACCACAAAATGGAAATTGACTTTTCCATAGACTAGAAAGAYGTTTCTTCTGCAGATTCTCTGTGACACAAGGCTAGCTTGGAAAAGCTTATAGATGTTGAAATTATTCAGAGCTCTCCTGTAAGAATGTTTTTATGTAAAAATACTGGCTGTAATTTGGAGTGTTTTATTATAAACGAAATGTGTGAATGAGTATTGAAACAATCATTTTAAGATGATGCACAATTGGAATTCAAATCTCTTCTTTGTGAACAATATATTTAATGTGCATTCCGTAAGTTCCATGGTTTCTATCCTGCTCTTTCCTGGGGATGTAGGWGTCTTGGTTGCCTCTACTTAAGTGGACACCAACGTGCTCTAGGTAGCCATTAAACCAGGAGTGACTCACGTTTGTTCCTCACTGCTGTGTGAGACCTGGCTGGATTCTCAGCTCCTTCAGGCAGGCACTGCCAGTCAGTGATGGGGATGAGTTTGTGTTGGGGAGCTGGAAATTGGGCCCATGTCCTGCACGGGCTGGCACTTGGCCAATTTATGCCATGGTCAGGAAGGAGGAGCCAAATTCTTCGCCGTGGTGGCTCATGACAGGACACGAGGCAATGAACACAAACAAATGCATGATGCCCCATCTGCACATACCAAAACTCTCTTTTTTATTGTGAGGGTGATGGAACACTGGAGCAGTTTCCCCAGAGGGGGAAGGGGTCTGCACCTGCAGAGACAGCTGACACCAGTGGGACACAGCCCCCTCAGCCTGTGGGACAGCAGAGTTGGGCTGAATGATCTCCAGAGGCCCCTTCCAGCATCAATCCTCTGCTTCTGTGCCTCTGTACCTTTATTTGCCTTCCTCCTGCCACACCACTCCCATTTAATCTGAATATCTTTTCCATCTGCTTTTAGATGCCAATGGCCAGGTAAAAATATTTTTTTCCCATCCAAGCGCTGCCTCAGCTGGGAGTGTTTCYACAGGCCTGGTCCTACTCATTAATTTTAAAGCTGTTTTGATTCACAAACTTCATTAAATAAAAGCTTCATGTCACACCCTTGAAAAAGATAACATCAGAAGCCCATTTTACAGGTCTGGGAAACCTATAATCATAGCAGTATTTTACCTATGCAAATTACAAGCCAGTGTTCTGAGCTGTATTCTTGTTTGTCCTAACTCTGCAGTCTTTATTTCAGCATGACTTTTTCTCATTCTGAATCATTCCTGTTTCACATCCAGTTCATCCTGGAGAAGAAAGTTTCCCCTGGGAAGGGAGGTGTCAGTCCAGCCCTCAGTTTCTCCATTGCTTTATCTGCATAGTGATACTGGCCCTGTTTAAAATAATTCACACCAAGTWTGAGAATTGCAGAAGGAAATCATGTGTGTGTTATTTCTCATTTTCTTTGTAGATAACCCTGGCTGTATATCTTGGTATGCCTGGTCTGCAAATCAAAATGAGTGGCTGTRACCAGCTGACAAGTTGGGGTTTGGTGGCTGTAGCTTGGCCTCTGGCAGTTTATTCTACCCTCAGCCACCACCAGCTATTACTGGCAATTGTGCATCAGGTGCCAAGTGTTTCTCTCTCTAGATAGTTCCTGGTGGTGCCTGTTTTGGGATTTCAGAAATGTGTTCAAGTAATTCAACTGGCAGAACTCCAGGTAAATAAAAAGAGCCAGGGGAAGTCTGGAGGATTTTCTGCAATTTCTTAYCCAGCAGCTGCATCAGCCAGTGTGCTGAAACCAACTGTTTCATCCTTTGTTTGGGCATTAAMCTTGTGAAAGAACCTGCTTCCTCGAGGATGGATTTTCCTCTCCTTTGCACTGGCTGGCTGAGGAGAAACTGAGATGGCAATATCTGTTCTAGGAGCCAGGGGTTTGGTGGTGGCTGTGGGAAGAGGACCTGCAGTGTCTGGGTGTGCCTGGGAGAGCTGGGGAAGCTGTAGGTGCAGCCCTGAGGCAGAAGAAACAGCTCACAGGGTGTGAAGCAACTCCCTTGTGAGCTGGTTTGTGCTGGGGAAGGTGGGAACAGATGGCTTTGGTGCTGGAGAGTGGAAAGCCCTTTACTGCTGGAGTGTTGGCTATGCCAGTGCTGAGGAAAGAGCTGGGGGAGCCTTTGGTGATGACCTGAGAAAAGAGAGGATCTAGAACTTGGGAAGCTCCCCCGTTCCTTTAATATTTCCAGATTGCATTTGTGAGTAGGAGGTATGTCCTGCACCCATAACTTGGAGCTTGATTTTAAGCACATGTGCACCTTAGCAGAACTTTTCCCTGGATATGGCCCTGCAAGGATGTTGGCTTCTTTTCTAGTTATGTAATGTTTGAGACCATTTCTGTAGAAATCAAGTTATTGGAGTGCTGTAATTCTGAAGGAATGTTGCAAAGTGTTTGTTTTCTTCATGGTTAGTAAAATGTGWCAGCTAAAGTGATTTGAGGGATAGTAAAGCCATTGAAAAACAAAATTTATGTACAATTTTTGATTTGTCTGACTTTAGACTTGTCCATGGATTTTTGGATCTTGGGCAATTGAGAGGAAATGTCAGTGAATTTGAATCACATAGGTCCCAGAAGAGGATTTTAGTCAGAAATATTAGGTCTCTTTCTGAGAGGGTGATAATAGTATGTGGGCCATACATTGTGCATTTAAAGAAATGGACGTTCTTGATCTGCCAGGAACAGACACTTGAACTCAGAACCAGAAGAAAGAAAGGACACCAATTTTGAGCTTTTTACTTAGAAATATACTTTCCTGAAGTTTATCTTGCACAGACTTTTGTTGTTGATGTATAATCAGGAAGGATTTGCAAACAATATCCTGTTGAGTTCTTACGGGCAGTGTTTGGTGTAAAGATTAGGGACACGTTGTAGCATTTAATTGAAAACGAACCTGGCTGGGTTTGAACAGCAGCACTGARGTGACTCGAGCCCTTTTATTGAACAGAACAGTCAGTTTAACTGATGGGAAACATTCTCCTGCAAGCAAGAGAAGGCAGAGASGACTCCAGGAGCACAGTGAGAGCTCTCTGCCAAAGGAAAGCAGGAGGCTAAAAGGGATCAAAGACTAGAAGTCCTGATAGCTGCTGWCACTGGTTTTTAGTACTTGAGGGTATTTGCAAAGTGCCACCCTTATAAATAAATAAATAAATAGATAATTTCATCCTGAAAGTTAAACTATYTCTTGTGTCTCACACTAACTCTGAAAGCCTCTGCAGAAGGGGTGTAGCCTGCTTTAGAAAGGTGGGGGAGTAGCAGTTTAAGCCCCTTCACGATAAAGCCATTTAGTTTCAATTTCAGCAGGTTTTGCATGAGACAGTTTGTTCTGTGATTACTGAATAAAATGCTTTGGTGAAACTTTTGCCAGGTAAACCATGGAGTGAGATGCTCACAGACAGAGAAGTAGGCTGGTGATGAGAATCATCTCCCTTACTGTGTCTGACTTGAAGAGGGGCACAGTTTAGGCCTCAGATTTTGGCTTTTGTCCTGCAGAGTGCTGTTAAAGTGCTGTGTTGAGACCATCCATGACATATCTGTGATGTTGAAATCAGTACAAGCATCATCCTCTTAGGGTTGTTCTGGGAACATGTTTTAACTGAGAACTGAGTCAGAGCATACAGCAAACCCATGCAAACATCCCTTAGGAAGAATTTCAAGCCTCGATTTCCCAATGATGTTCRTAAAAGTAGGATTGGTTCCATCAATCATGGGCAAACTCAAAATTTCAACAACAAAGTAATTGTGACTTTGGTTACACCCTGTCTTTGGCCACTGCAACTGGCTTGTTTCTGTTATAATGAAATTTTGTGCCACAGCCATAAGAAATCAGCAGAAAATATAGACAAATTAGAGATTAAATAAAATTAAGAAATTTGTCAGGATTCTTTAAATAGTTTTTAGTAAAATTAATTTGTTGGCAAGCTGTGCTGACACCTGGCAGAAACATTCTCTTTGCTTTAATGTCCTGGAAAATTTCAGACCTTTCAGTTTGCAATAGTGCCTGATAAGAAGTTGCAATAAGGTTGTTTTCAACAATAGAATTGATTACATCTTCCTCTTCAGAGGTTCTTGTATCAATGCTTGACCTTTAAAAGAGAAAAATCAGGTCCACTTTAAGGAATAGCTTAATAAAAGAACGAAGACCTAGTGCAAAGCTTAACATAGATGTTTTCTCAGTCTCAGTGGAGTTATGGATACCATTGAAATATTGTGTCATTGTTCTTAGAACAGGACCTGGTGGTCCAGTGTTGCTGTTATTAAACCAATCACTTGATATTAAAAAAATCATTAGATGCAATTGAAGCATTTCCTGAGAGCAGTCAGAGCCAAATCCCAGAATTCCCAGGAATGGCTAAATTCCTCTGCCATCCAGCAGCAGTGCCAGGATGCTGCTAAATTTCACCAGAACTAATCAATGCTTACCCATGTTTTTGTGATGAYTGTGTATCTTGTTGCCAGCAAGCACACTTAGCCCTGGCCCTTCTCTTATAAGAAACATAATTTTTGTTGGTCTTGGTACATCTTTGAATGTTCCTATAGCCAGTGATGCCAAAGGAATTTCCCAGAGATGATGACAAAGAATGGTTGATACACAAGCAGGTGGGTTGGCTGTGCCAAAGAAAAGCAGAAATGAGCTGGAAATTAGTTACGTGAGGGAGCAAAATGTGTACTCATTCTGTGGTACAGCAGAAGTTAAAGCATTCCTTAGGTAGGGGGTCTTTTGCTTTTWATAATTGTTAATTAAATTAAGAAATGAATTCTTGAAAATAAAATTTCTAAAAGACCCTTCTGAAGGATGCTGGACCCAAAATAGTTCCTAAACACGTGTGCATATGGGGTATAAGCTGTATGACTGGCAGAGACCACAGGCAACCACACCAGATAATTGCAGCCATAGACATATCCCATGCTATTTTGAAGTGGAACCCCTTTAACACCTACATAGTGAAATAGCTCTCACAATCTTTTAAGCAAAGTGAAAAAAAAAAAAAAATCTTGTTCTGTGTCCAAATCATGAGGGAAAGCTGATCAGAGGACTTGCCTGGRCAGCAGGAGTGACCAGCAGAGCACACATGGGGCTCAGCACTCGCTGTCTCTGCTGGGTGCTGTCAGCTCAAACCATCTTCAGCACTGGTTTGCACTCAGTAACATAGAGACACTTCCTCAGTGGCAGTGTGCAAAAGGGAGCAATTAATAAGAACAGCTAATTCTCCAGAAATTCAGGTAAAATGCAGTTGACCTGGGTCTTTTTTTAAAAAAAAAAAGTTGTTTGCCAAGTTTCCTGTTTGTGCCATATTTGTGCAAGATCTCCCTCCACACCTTCAATGAGGATGTTTCCTGCTGCTGAGGTAGAGAAGAGTGTTGGTAGGGGAGGAGTTGAATTGTTGAGCATAGGAATTCTCTGAGCAGTTTTCCTTGGATGATTTTTTCTATTTATGCAGATCTTTTTTGCTTTTTTTCACTGTGAAAGACTGAAGATGAGCACATAGTGCAAACATCCCTTCCATGATAAGGTTTCTAGTTGTCATGTCCTTATTTTGCACCTGTGTTTGATTTATTTTGGGAAGCATGGAGGTAAGTTATTCCAGGAAACACCAAGTGGCCTCCTGTTTGTGCAGGACATTTCTTCTGCATCAATCCTACACCTCTGGCAGAGCCTCCCTCGATCCTGACCAAGGTCTCAGTTCAGGTGGATTCCATGTATGTTCCGTGTTCTAGATCAAGCAGGGAACAACATTTAGGCCTTCTCATCTGTGTGGTTCTCCCCATCAGCTGCAAGCAAGCCAGAGACTATGACTGATGATTCAGAAGCTGACAAAGCATTTGCAATGGTTTGCCAGCGGGTGTAATTYTGAATATCATAGCACAGAGCTCAGAGCAGTTCTAATGGTGCTGCAAAATCAGAAATCACTGTTCTGTTTTTGGCTGAGCCTTTATGTTTTCTTTTGCAGAGCCATAGCCCTGCCCCTCAGTRCCAAACTGGGGGTGAGAGACAAACAGAGACCAAAAGCTCAGCCCAACCTCGTGCTGGAAACATTCTACAACACGCACCGCAAGAACCCCGAGAAGGTGAGTCCCTTCTTCCTCTGCTTTCCTGTGGATTTAGTGTCTTTAGTCAAAGAAAATCCCATTTTGAATCGTGAAGTTTAGCAATGCCACTCATATTTGGAAGCTCAGGAATGCAGCAGGAAACACAATAGCTCTGATCACCTGAGAGCAAAGGGTTCTCCTGCAATGCCATCATCTCCCAGTTCTGATCTGAACTCCTGCAGGAAACTGCATTCCCAAAGGAAATAGTGACAAGTGCTGTTCCCTCCAGTGCTTACCTTACACACAGCACAGCAGTGACACAGGCTCTGCCTCAGCATCAGTGACACTTTCTCACTGTCAGGGTGCCAAGGGTGCCCAGAGAGGTTGTGAAATTTCTATCCATGGGAAATCTCAAAGCTCTCTGGACATGGCTCTAGGTAGCTCTGTTTGAGCAGGGCCCATTGGACAAAGTGACCTCCATGGTCCCTTCCAACCCCAGCCATTCTGTCATTCATTCTTTTCATATACTGGCAAATCCTGTAAAAAATCAGTCACATCAGCTGCCTTGAGCTTGCTCCCACATTGCTAGTCCCTGCAGTTCAGTGGATGTGTCTTACCTGATCTAGTCCTGGACTGGGCCATTGTGTTGCTGCACCATCCATGAGTTTGAGATTGGCCTTGCAAGAAGCCATAGTCTAGGTCATCATCACAGAGATTGTGAGGAACTTCAGAAACCTACAAACACAGCTGATGGGTAGATTTCCCCTGAGAGATAAGAAGAGTGATTTTCAAGAACCTGGCAAGGTGATCCAGAGTTGTAATGGCTACTGCTGACGAGACAAACCACTGGCAGGATTCTGAATTGTCAGGCAATATTAGAATTTAACCTGGTTGGTTAAGTCCTTGCATGAGAATCCTGTGGTAGGGAAAGGAATCTGATTTTCTTTCCATTTGTTTTTATAGCCTTTCTTGTAGCCTTGAAGCAACAGCTGTGAGCTCTTCCCAAGGATGGGTGAGCAGGGAGCTCACTATGGGTTCCTGTCCCAAGAGACAATCCCACTCCACACACGTTGTTTCAGCAAGGCAGACAAGCATGGTTTGTGCTGCACTGGGGCATGAGGAACCCTAGGACATGCAGCACCAGGTTAGAGGCAAAGGAAAAGAGGCTAAAATCAAAATGTCAGCATTGATGGGGGTAGTGCAGCCAGGCCATCTCTGCAGCAGTGGAAAGGAGTGTTCTTAGGGACACTTGCCAGTGTGGTCGTCCCTGACCTTCCACTTCAGTCCCCAAAATCCAAACAGTCCCCTGCCTTTCAGTCCCCAAAATCCAAACATTTCTCAGTAAAACTGATTCTGTGGCAGAGATTGAACTCAAGAGCTGGCTTTGCCACCAGGTTTTTCCCACATCTCTCCCTGCACCCCATGGCACTGCAGTGGTGTTTTTCTCCCGGGTCTGTGATATCAGAGCAGATCCTCACCATGAGATCCAACAGCAGTGGGAGCAGGCAGGAGCTGCTGCCTGGCTCTCTGCACTCTCTGGGGACACCTCAACCAGTCTGCTGCCTTCCCTCCTCTCCCATTGTCGCTGTTGGCCAGACACAAAATAACAGATACAAAGACACACATATACACACACAAAAAATAATCCCTTTATTCTGAGACAAACCTCCTTTATCCACTTTAATAACCAGTACATACATTTGTATCACACATACATTAGTCAGTAAAGCTATCACTTTCTACTCAACAGCATAAGATTAATAAGTTTGCAAAAGCTACAACATTAATAATGTTTATAATTATAAGCCACCTACATTCCAATCTCTTTTTCTCAAGACAACCAAAGACGTAGCATTTTTCTCCCATACAAGCTGTTAACACTCCCTACATCCCATGNCCTGATGGAGCAGTTGGAGAATATAAATTAGCATCTCCATTTGTCTCCACCACCAGAACACAAGTCAAAAGACACCRTATCTGAAAGTTGGTAATGAACTCATTTTTGTACAGCACACACTATGTTATGTCACTCTCACGTGATACCATTCAGGTGAATGCATTCCATGAAAGATTATTGCTTTACTTAAAAAATAAGGCTATCCATGATACCTCCAAGCAGGGACATAAAACATGACAAACATTTTTCATGTCACATGCCGAACTCTTAACAGCCTAAGGACAAGAAGGAAGGTAATTGCAGGATTTCTGTGAGTAATCTATTGAAGAATTACCCCTTACAGGTTTACCACAAACAGGAGAATATCCGGTATGAAAATTATATTTCCTCTGCTAATAAAGTCCATTATGATACTGCATCAGAATTCTGCAAGGCATGACAAAGTTTAGTGGAGAACTTTAAGATATTATTTAAGTTGCAGTGATCTTTCTTGGAGTGACAGATTTAAGGGATTTGGTCCTGMAAGACAGGGTGAGGAAGTGATCTGACAATGAACTCATGTGAGGAGAAAACACCAGTTTGAAACTGGAGAAGTTTACATAAAAAATGAGACATTTCAACATCAGCATTAATAACCAATTGATGAGATGGGAACGGACAGATTTTCTGCTATCCAAGTTCCTTATACTAGGAATGAACAGCTTTCACAAAATGGAAATAAAATTGGCCTAAATGGACTTGGGCTTGCCAGGAWCTCCAGCTGGGTTCAGTGGTGTGTCAGATGAAATACTGCCCTGTCTGACCTCTGGGTTTGGATCTGAACCTGCTGCCTCACCTCTTTTCCAGGATGAGCTGCTCAGTTTAGCCAAGCAATGTGACTTGCCAGTGAGGAAGGTGGAGAAGTGGTTCCGGTGCCGGAGGAACATGGACCGGCCCAGCCTGTCGAAAAAGTTCAGCGAGGCCTGGTGAGCAGGAGCAGGAGCCATGAGGGGCAGATTTTCAGCAGACTGAGCTCCACAGACAGCTCAGTGCCTCCCCTGCCCTCCATCCCTACACAGAGATTCCAGCTCCCTTTCTCCCTCCATCCCTACACAGAGATTCCAGCTCCCTTTCTGCCTCCATCCCTATGCAGAGAACATCGTGGGTCTTCCCTGATCTTCTTGGCTCTTCTGGGACTCTGCTGCTTCTCTGTTAGAGAAACATTTCTTGCTTTTCCCCCTTATTTGCACTCCCAAAGTCTCCTTTTACTGCTGTGCTTTTATTYCTTACTGGGCCTTTGTTTCTGACTGTTTCTGACTTTGTCATGCTGGCATTCTGCTCTGACACATAATTTTACCTGAAAAACTCTCTGGTGTTTGCCTCTTACTGCTTTGCTGCTGTTTCAGTACCTACTAAAAGTCATCCTTTCTGTTGCCTTTCTGATATTTCCCTTTGCCTTCTGCAAGGAGATTCCTTCTGCTGCACCTTTTCTGGAGGTATTTTGCACACTGTTGCCTTCAAAAACCACAGGCAGCAGGCTGGCTTGGATTCTGCTGTTATTTGACTTCAGCATCCTGAAAATCACAAACCAGCAGCTTCCACAGGGGGTGGGAGCTTGTGAGCAAAGAACAAAAATTGCCTTGGAAATAGCTGTGTGGAAATCCCCCTTGCTATGGGGAGGCTCAAAATAAACCTCAGGTCAGGCAGATCTGAGTGTCAGTCCTGGCTCAGCTTTCTACAGAAAAGGAGGATTCTCCMCAGCTTGTTTGGAATGCTTCATTTATGAGAGGCTACTCTGCTATTTGTGTAAGGGAGTGAGTTCTCCCAGGAAAGGCCACAAAGGCCAAAGAAATCATKAAATTCCTGGAGTACTCTTCATCTATCTAAAAGTGTGTATCCATAGGGGAATCATCACCTTTGAGCTCATCAGCTTGTGCTCCATTTAACACTCTGCCTCTAATACAAAACGCCTGCCTAAAAACCCTCATTCAAAAAAAAAAAAAA